GTCTCTTGGAGAAGAGACGAAACGTTTCATTAGAGAAGAACCCGTCCAGAGGACCTATACAATTTTTTTCTTTTTGTATCATTATATCAGTTGAATGTGGTCTCCAAACATTATTAACATTTATCACAATAATTTCTGAGACGCTTTAGCGTCCAGCAATTTTTTTTTATCATGACAGTACTTAGTGAGTATTCTCCTATTAATCAAATGGAATAGATTATTTGGTGAATCAATSGAGTTTTTAATGAGAAATCGATTTTGGATCGAATCGTGGCTCCAGAAATAAAAATCGAATTGAATTGTGAGAAAGTAAAATATTCCCACCCCTAATTAAGACCTCTTGCCCTTTTATTTGTAGTTGGGCTTTTTTTGTCTGTCAAACTGGTTTGAAACAAAATGTCCACAAGATGTTATTTATCTAAAATTAACTGTACTTTATACATTTTACAGATGGAAAGTGATAAGTAAAGACTGATACGGATGAAATAAAAAAAGAACAAAATAAATTATGGGTAAGTTTCATATGCACTTATTTTATTGTAGCAAAAAATGGCATATTGTCTCATCGGGCATTTTCAGAATTATCAATCTTTTCTGTGTTTTTCTAATTTATCTTATAACCAAATTTATTCATCTTTGTCTCCTCTCTGCATTTAGCTGAAACACCTGAGCAGTCACCCCAGAACTGGACTGAGTCGGAAGTAAGTGACTGGCTTAGATCCATTGGAGTGAAAGAGCAGTATGTGAAAAAGCTCTATGAAGAGGAAGTGGATGGACAAACCCTTCTTACACTCAATGAAGACTTTTTAAAAACAAAGATTTGTATGAAATTAGGGCCTGCTCATTTGATCATACACAGCAGAGATGCGCTTCTCAACTCTCTGCAAAAATGTCCGGGAAACAAAAAGCCCACCAATGCCAAAAACTCTGAGTCAGAGCCAAAAAATAAACAAAGACCAGCACAAGGTTCCTCTACAGCAGATAAAAGTCCTCAACTTCCTGTGAGAGACCAAAATGCATCTGAGGAGAGATCTCCTCCAGAACAATACACATCCTCTTCAAAAGATGACTGCAAACCACGACCTTTTGATAATGAAGGAATTGATTTCATTTATGTAAAACACAGAGTGCTCCAGCCTGAATCAGGTGCCTTCAACCTGATGTCTCCTTGCCATGAATACAAGTCTTTTGCTTTAGCTGCTACGTTAGACCGAACTAGACTCCAAGCAAAGTTTGCCAGAGAGGTTCTTAAATTTGCATCAGGCTGTATGAATATCAGATCAAATGGCACTATACACTTTGGTGTAATGGATAGCAAGGAGGATGCAGGATATGTGCACGGTGAGATAATTGGGATTCCTGCAAAAGAAAAAGACATTTATGTGGATGCTTTGGACTACATCGAAAGAAGCTTCTCCACTGACAAAGAACATGTACGCCAGTGTGTGCGACCACCAACTTTCATTGAAGTCATGGATCATGGAAGTACTGAAAAGAGTTATGTGGTGGAGGTGGACATCGTGCCTTCACTGCGTATTGTCAGGAATAAAGTGTATGCTGTRAAACTGCCAAATTTCAAAGAGTCATCTAATAAAGTTGAATTTGAGAAAGAAGTTATCCTACGAAGAYTAGGCTCTAAAACGGAGCCAGTGATCGACAAAGACTTAGGAGATTTTTACCAGAGAGTCAAAGATCGTGATGCTCAAAGAGAGGAAGCAGAGAAAAATCAGTTTCTCTATGCTCCAGAGATGTGCCAAGACCTCGGACGGAAGCTCACAATGCTACTGACCAGTGGGAAGAAGTTCATTGAAAAGGAAAAGTGGTTCATATTGGTCACAAACAAATTCAAACCGACTGACCTCTGCAACATTGACTGGCTGCTCAACATGAATGTGTTCTGTGTGTTTGACTTTGACCCAGACTCAAAGATAACAGGGCTTTGCAGTATCTACCTTCAGCACCATGCTGCAAATGTGCATTTTCTGCAGAACTARAGGATACCAGCTGGCATGAGTGTCAAAGATTTCACAAGCCACTTGCATCTGTTTGAGCAAACTAGTTGGATCTTTTGCAATGGATGCACTGACTTCAAAGGAAATGAAATTCAGGTTGATGAAATGACCTGGATTAAGACAAAAATGACTTTCCTGCGAGAGTCTGTGTCCCTGATCTGCAAACAGATTTTACCAAAAGGGACATTTCAGGTCATTTTTCTTCTTATGTCACCTGTGGAAAAGCCACTCCTGCACACTTTTTATGAGTTTTTCACAGATATGGAGGGACATGAGGACATCATCTGCATCTGTGAATCTGAGAAAAACTACCAGAAGTGGCAAAGCTTTGCAGAGGGTTCATGTGGGAAGGAAGTGGTTAACAATTCAAGTGTTGTTGGGATGAAAATGAGTCACATCAATGCAACCCTGCAGTATGTACAACCTATCAAAGCATGTGTCCAAAAACATCTTCCAGTCTTTGTGAAAGGGACGTGTCTGCTTGAAACACAGATTGAAGAACAAATGTATTCTCTGGAAATTCTGACAGTTGATCATTGTGATGAAACAAGCAAAGACTTCATCAAAGAGGAGAAGGAAAACATTGAGCACCAGTTCTACCGGGGTGGGAAAGTGACATGGTTGAACCTCTGGCTTGCTGAGAACGAGTATGTTGAAGAAGTTATTAAAAGAGAGGCCTATCGGGAAACATCCAATCTTCTCAATGATTGTTTGAAAAACAATGTGGATCAGACTCCAGTGAACTGTATAAACATCTACCATCACCCTGGAAGTGGTGGAAGCACGGTGGCCAGACAAGTCCTGTGGAACAACAGAAAGGATCTGAGATGTGCAGTGGTGAAGCCTTCTTACCCAGTTTCTGTTGTAGCACAGCATGCAGTGGAGCTAAGAGAATATGAAGAAAAAGATCCTCAGAAGTGCCTTCCAGTGCTGCTTCTTATTGAAGACACAGACAAAGAATATCTTGATGATCTCAGGAATGAACTAGAGGAAGCCATAAACATCAAACGAATTCAGTATGGAACTCTTTGTTTCATTTTGTTGAGTTGCAGACGTTCTCATGATCCAGAGAAGAAATGTAAGGAGTCTCCGCTGCAGAATGTGTCCGTCACTCACAAACTCTCTGTTCAAGAGAAGAGGAAGTTTGCTGGAAAACGTCAAGTTCTTGAGGAACGATACACACCTGAGTTCATCCTGACGTTTGTTTTAATGAGTGAAGGGTTCTCTGAAGATTACGTCCAGCACTTTGTGAAACACTTGCTTCAAGGCATTAACCTCCAGTCAGTTGGCACTCGCCTCATTCACTATGTTGCATTGTTAAACACATATGTTCAAAACTCCTATATCTCTCAGTCCCATTGTGAAGCTTTGCTCGCCATAACAATTCACATGGAGAGGTTCCGCCAACACAAATTTGAAAACTCACTCAGTGATCAGGCTAAACTTGTTCTTTTGCACCTCAGAGATGAGAAGACACACATTGAATCAATCAGAATCATCCATCCACTTGTTGCAAAAGAAATTCTTCAACAACTTCTGGGAACCAATCAAACCCAAAGTGGACTGG